AGCTACAGAGGGAGCTCTTGTCTAAAACAAACAAAACCCTAACTGTCACAATAAGGAACCCATCCACAATATTTTTTTTTCCGTTTTTCAAGACAGGGTTTCTCTCTGTAGCCCTGGAACTCACTCTGTAGACCAGGCTGACCTCAAATTCAGAGATCCACCTGCCTCTGCCTCCCAAGCACTGGGGTCAAAGGTGTATGCCACCATGGGCAGGATACATTGATACAGAGTGTCAATGTAACCCTGGCTGACCTCCAACTTGACTTGTAGACTGTGGGGAGCAGATGAAGTCATGGTCGCAGCCGTGTCAAGTACTCCAGTGCTTCAAATCCACGGAAATAACAAGGCTTTCACATGGTCAGAGTGGGGATGCTGAGAGTGTGTGTAGGAACTCTCTCAACCACCGCTTCCTCCTCCCTGATGACTGCAGCCTGACATTGCTCCCTACAGAGATCCCCTACTGACACAAACTAACCCGCCTTTTCAGTTGTATATAACAAGCCTGAGTCCTCCTTCTACTGTGTATAACAGTGGGCTGAGTCGCCAGGCTTCGGGCTTGTTTCCATCCGTAGTGGCATCTTGCCTTGCCGGTGAACTTGTAGTAGTGGCCACACCCTTTGGGCGTGGTTTCAGGTGTGGACATGACCCCTTTAAGGTAGAGGAGCTGGGGGCTGGCTCTCTCTTGGGTCATGAGAGCATTGGAAGGACACAGACTGCATCTTCAGGAGCAGGAAGGCCATGGAGGTTATTTACTCTTATCTGTGTAAGTTGCTCCCCAGATAAACACCTATTTGTCATTTATCTTGGGTCTGGTGAACTCAGTTAAACTCTGCCTTCATCCGTCAGTGCCTACCCATCTGATCCCAACTTTTCTGTATGTGTGTCTGTCATTTCTTCATCCAATCACAAAGCAGTGCAGATTGCATTAGTAGAGCAAGCTGATCTCAGAGATCTGCCTGCTTCTGCCTCTGGAGTACTGGGGAGTCCTGTGCCCCACACTCGCCTCCGTCCAGGATTCTTGACTTCACCAGCTTTTACTGTCTGAGGATATTTTCTGCTCTCATTCATAATCCTCTTTAATATTTGTGTGTGCGCCGGGCGTTGGTGGCGCACACCTTTTATCCCAGCACTCGGGAGGCAGAGGCAGGCTGAACTCCGTGAGTTCGAGGCCAGCCTGGTCTACAGAGTGAGTTCCAGGACAGCCTCCAAAACAATACAGAGAAACCCTGTCTCGAAAAACCAAAAAAATAAAATAAAAAAATTTGTGTGTGCATGCAGGATCCCGCAGAGGTCAGAAGGTGTTGGATGCTCTGTAGCTTCAGGTACTGGTGCGTGTGAGCAGATGGATATGTTGGACACTGGACCAAACTCTGGTCCTCTGCAAAAACAGCAAGCACTCCTAACAACTCAGCCACCTCTTTAGCCCTAGCTAATTCTAAAGTAGAACTTAATAGCTCTCTTGCTCTTTTTTTTCTCTAAATAACAAATAAAGCAACTCAAGTGTTACCTCACCAAGCAATAGCAAAGTTGTCTAAGTGAAGTTGCCCTTTACTGGTTAAGACGTGAAAGCTAGCTCACTGGGAGCCCTGCATGGTGGTGCACACCTCTAATCCCAGACACACTTCTAGCATTGACTCACCGGCATTCACACACCCACAGAGACAGACAAATTTGTAACTTTTGTTGTTGCTTTCCGGGACAGGGTTTCTTTGTGTAGACCTAGCTGTCCTGAAACTCTCTCTGTAGTCCAGGCTGGCTTCAAACTCACAGAAATCCTTCTGTCTCTGCCTCCTGAGTGCTGGGATTAAAGGCATGAATCACCACAGCCCAGCAAGACTCTGAATTTTAAAAAATTAAAATGCTTTAAAAAAAAAAACATGGTGTGGTGGTGCGCACCTTTAATTGCAGCACTGGGGAGGAGGCAGAGGTAGGAGGATCTCTGTGAGTTCAAGGCACAGCACAGCCAGGGTTGTGTTGAGAGACCCTGTTTCAGAGAGACAGACAAAGTCAGACAGACAAAGATTTTAAGGGGTCAGAGAGATGACATAAAGGTAAGGGCAGTTGCCATCAGCTCTGAGATTCCATGGAGTCCGAGGTAGAAAGAGATCTGTCACAAACCGTCTGCTGGCCTCCACTTTGGAGTCGTGGCGCATACACCTGCCCCTCCCCCCCAGACACAACACAGAAAAGAGAATGCTTATTTATTTTGTGAATATGTGTTTGTGCCTGAGTGTATGCGTATGTGTGTGTGTGTGTGCACGACATACATGCAGGAGCCTGGGGAGGTCCAGAGAGGGCAAAGGAGCCTGGGGAGGTCCAGAGAGGGCATAGTGGATCCCAGACTGGGTCACCCCAAATACCCTGCCCGACTTGGTGTCAGTTGCGTGGTCTTTCTGTAGAAGAGAACAGAGAAAACCATACTCCAGGAGCCCTTAAAGTGCAGTGGTGGCGACATGCGGTAGTGAGGATGTAGCGAAGCGAAGAGAAGCGAGGAGATCCCTCTCTGCTTAGGGCTGGCTCCCGAGCTGCCCGACGACTGCGGAAGACGGGTCTGTCCGTTCACACCAACTCCAGTGACAAGGCTGTTAGGCAATAGGGGTGGGCAACCATCGGCCCTTTAGGGGTTCTAGATAATTCGGGATGATTTGTCTCTGGTCCTGCAACTCTCCTTGAGCAAGAAAGTTCACTGAACCAACTGGACCAAGGGAGGGGTGCGAGTCGGAGGCGTGGTCTATGCAGATGACGGTCGCGCAGGGGCTGCTGAGTCCGCACTCGCTGCGGGAACTCGAGGGCTTTCGCGCGCGGCGTGGGAGGGAGCGCGGGGCGGCGGGTGTGGGCGTAGCGCAAGGCTGGGGCGCGCGTGGGTGGAGGCCGTGTAGCGCGCGCGTGGAAGTGACCGTGTGTTGAGAGCGCAGGGCCGGTGTGTCTGAGTCGGGTGTGGTGTTGGGGAAAGCATACTTACCTGGCAGGGGAGATACCATGATCATGTAGGTGGTTTTCCCAGGGCGAGGCCCACCCATTGCACTTGGGGTGTGCTGACCCCTGCGATTTCCCCAAATGCGGGAAACTCGACTGCATAATTTGTGGTAGTGGGGGACTGCGTTCGCGCTCTCCCCTGATATTTGCTGTGGCAAAGATAGACATTTTCGCTGAAGGTACTCTAGTTCCACCTGAAACTTGCAATACAGATGAGTGTGTTTTTTAAAGCTCACAGTAAGGGTTACTAGATAACTAATGCTTTCATTTCAGGATTTCTTTCTACCTTTATAAAATATAGCGAGCCAAGAATAGCAATCGTTTTATCACTGACTTTCAAAACGTACTTCCCTATAAACATTCTTCTGAGAGTAACAACTCTAAAACTCACGGTTTTACTTGACTACTCATTTGTGTTCATTTCCTTGCCTTCTATGATTTGTTTATTTTGGTACAGGTACTCTCTAAGTAGACCTGCCTGTGTGGGCTTGTAGGCTCGAGCCACTATGCTTGACAGCTGACTCTGCTTTAGAACGAGCGTGGGCCTTCCTTTCCCTCCTGCAGTGGCATCTCCTTTCTCCAGGGAGTGGAGAGACCTTTTCTTTCTTCTGGATTCTGTTCATGTGGTCATACGAACCTGCGGCAATCTCTTCTGATAACCTCACTTATCAAGTTAATGTTATTTCAACTAGTTTTAGGTAGCTAGATCTAGACCGGTTTCTTCATATCATTCAGCTCCTTACTAGACCATCAGGTGTTTTAGACAAGCAAAGAATCACAACTTCATCAAGTGAACAAATTTATTCTTCATTCCAAAACACCAACAAACTTTTGGTCTACTTTAATGTTAATACCGTGGGATTGTTTGTGATTGAAAAAAGAGATAAAGAGCCTGGACCTGGGCAGGCACTTTTGAGTCCACGCCCGGCCCTGCCTGGACTGTCTTTGGAAGCTCTGTCTCACAAAAACAAAGGGCTGCTGGGTAAGGACCACCCAGGACTGAGACCTAAATCCGGGGTTAGGGTAGACCCCGAAGAAATCGGTGTTCTTTTCAGCCTGAGTAAGGGAAACTTAGGTCCTGTCATGTAGGAGGTTCTCTTCATAGTGCAGAATCCACTCAATGACGCTTTAGTAACAAAGGAATTCTGTCATAAAGGGCGGGGCAAGGCCGCCGGGCGGGGCAAGGCGCCCAGTTAGTTGCCAAGGCTCCCTGAGGTCAGAGGCCTTTCCTCCAGTTTCTCCCCGCCAGTGCACTGCAGCACTGTGAGTCGCCTCCATCCTGCATGCCATGTCCTTACAGGTCATGACTCCACTGAGCTTCTGCTTCTGCGCCCCAAGTCTTCTCCTCACTGGACGACTTTTGCTGGTGATGACCCAGGCGGATCCCATTGGGAAGCAGGTCCAGAGCCCAGTTCGGTTGCCCTCAGAGCCTTGGATGCCCACGAGCTCTGGTCTTGGCAACACTCAACCCGCCCAAACCTCCCCAAGCTCGTAAATCCCAGGAAGATACAGGGGCTTTGTTTACCTGGGGTCCTCCACTCCCTCCCAAATGTTCTCCCCACCTCGGGAGTGACGGACAGTTTTCTTTCTTTCAAAGACACCTCTGAGCATGCACCTAGAGTCAGCAGTCCACTATTCTACATTAGCATATGACCAACAAAAATGACTCCACAAGGAAGCCAGAGTCCTGATTTCCAACCCCAGAGCTCTCTGAGGAGCTGGAAACTTCATCAACACAACAAGAGGCCCCAGTTGAGATTGCAGAACTTCCTGAAGAGCTTGGAACTTCTGGGAGCCAGCTAGAAGTTCCGGCCCTACTTACAAAGCCCTATGAAGAAGTCAGTGCTCCATTGAGCAAGAGACTACAAGTTCCAACTCCAGAATCCTCTGATGGGAGATGTCATTCTGATATCTGTCTCTTATTGGTTGTTGAATAAAGCCCTATTGGCCAATAGGAAAGCAATAGGTGGGACTAGGAGTCCAGGAGGACTCTGGGTAGGAGAAACACAGAGAGTCAAGATGTAACTGCCACAGGGATAAGAATGCCGGAAACTTCTCCAGTAAGAGAAATACTTAGATTAACAATTATGGGGTAATTCTTAAGTCAGAGCTAGCCAGTAAGAAACAAGCAAGGCCAACAGCTTCATAATATAGCCTCCTGTGTGTTTATTTGGGACTGTAGAATGTGTAGTCTTTGGTTGAGTAGTTGTTGGGATGGTGGAACGTGTAGTCTCTGGTTGAGTAGTTGTTGGGACAGTGGAACATGTAGTCTCTTAGGAGTTGTTGGGATGGTGGAATGTGTAATCTCCAGTTGAATAACTGTTGGGATGGTGAAATGTGTAGTTTGGATGCTGGGATGGATCATGAACTAGATCTCTCACTTCAAAATGTACTGAAGAGCTGGGCGTTGGTGGTGCACGCCTTTAATCCCAGCACTCAGGAGGCAGAGACAGGCGGATCTTTGTGAGTTCGAGACCAGCCTGGTCTATAAGAGCTAGTTCCAGGACAGCCTCCAAAGCACAGAGAAACCCTGTCTCGAAAAACCAAAAAAAAAAAAAAATGTACTGACGATTGAGCTATAGTCTCCTTAGGTGACTCTGTAGGCTGAACTGGTGATGAACATTTAACCATTGTAGCAGGCTGTGCAGTTATGGAAAACTTTGGGTGTGAGGGATGAATTGTGATTTGACTTAAGTTTACATACATCGCACCTGTGTAGGGAGAGATCCGTGTACCCTTAGCACTGACCACGCCCATTTGGGTGTGGTCACAGGTATGTAGAACGTACAGGGGACAAAAGAGCTAGGAAGAGGAGACTCTTTTAGTTCCAGTTTCACCCTGGAGAGCAGTGTGGGGACCTTTGGTTTTCAGCTTTCTTGGCTTCTCATGTAAGTGATTTCTTCCTCAGTGAAATATCGTAGGACATGCCTATTTTGTGCAGCTTAATATTTCCGAACTACACCTGGCCTACAATTACATTCTTAATGGATATAAATTAAATATTCGGGTCTAGAGAAACCTTTCTTGTGTTCTAATTTTTCACCTGTGAGGTAATGTATTAGTTTTGTTTTGCTATGATGAACAAAAGCAACTGAGAGAGGGAAGGAAGACTTTATTTCATCTTACAGCTGTAATTCATCATGAAGAGGAGTCGGGACAGGGACGTAAGACAGGAACCCAGAGGCAGGAACCGAGGCAGAAGCCTTGGAAGAACCCTGCTTACTGGTGGCTCCGCCTGGCTTGGCTGCTTTGCCTCCCACACATTCCAGCACCACCTGCCCAGGGAGGCACCACCCAAAGCAGGCTGGGCCTCACACATCAATAATCAAGAACGTGTCCCAGCTGCCCACAGTGGGGACATTTTCTCAACTGAAATCCCCTCTTTACAGATGACCCTAGTTTGTGTCAAGTTGAAAAAAAACTAACTAGGACAGGTAACCACTACTGTGAATTTGGTCTATATCTTTCCAGACATATTTTTAAAAATATTTGACACCTATAAATATTGCAACATGCCCATGTCAGAAACAGATATTTCAAATGATGCTTAAGAGGTATTCTTAGTTAGTTCCAGGCCAACCAGGACTACACAGTGAAACCCAGACTAGAAAAGTAAAGATACATCTGAAAACATGTATTGTAATTGAGCATATCAGAAATCCCCTACCATTCACTAACTAAACCTCTGAGGGCTAGGCACACATGAGGTACACATACGTAAACACAGGCAAAACACTCAAACACACGTAAAATGAATCCTTTAAAGGTATGTGCATATTAGCCAGGTGGTGATGGTGGTGCATGCCTTTAATCCCAGCATTGGGGAGGCAGAGGCAAGGGGATCTCTGTGTGTTCAAGGCCAGCCTGGTCTACAAAGTGAGTTCTAGGACAGCCAGGGCCACACAGTAAAACCCTGTCTTGAAGAAACAAAAGCATATACATATAAAAAGTGTGCCATACACAAAAGAGCAAGAGATGGAGTGAAACAGGAGGGTGACATAAATGTTCACCCTCTGTGAACTATATCCACTGTGCTTGGTACCTCAGTTCAGTGGTCACTTATCTATGGCACTGCCATCCATAGATGGCTTTATGCGTGTGGTCTCAAGCACCCCTGACCAATAAAGCAGGTGCAGCTAGCTTTGTTTGGTTCTCTTCTGTGATGTTTTTAACATTGTGATGCCCTTTTATTTAGAATCCAAGAACTTCTGGTTCTAGAAGCAGCGAGGGCCACCTGGCTTTCCTAATGGAACATGCCTAGATTGGCCATCTCTGTATTTGTGCTCAGCCTCAAATTTTTCTATCCACAGATCACTTGTATGATTTTAATTAATGTTTGTTGAGGCGGGGGTCTCATTATGTTGGCTTGGCTGGTCCAGTACTTGCTGGATATTCCAGGCTGGCCTTGAACTCACACAGATCTGCCTGTCACTGGAAAAAATTTTTTTGGTCGGGATCAAAGGTGAATGCCACCATGTCTGGTATCATATGATTTTTAAAGTGTTTTTCTAAGTTGAGTGTGGTGACCATGGTGGTAATGCCAGCATTCAGGAGGCTGAGACAAATGCAGAACCCATTCCAAGGCCAATGGGCAACTTAGTGAGACCCTGTATTTCAGCCTTGAGCTTGCACTGAGGCCTGAACATGAGCAGCTCTCCATAGACACCCTGTGTGCTTGCTGTAGAATGTTCTGAGCAGCCACTTAGCTGGCACTGTCCTCTCTAGTTGTCATTGCCATTTCATGGGTTTAAATCTGGGTTTATTTTTCTCTCCACTAATGGGCACTCCATCGAGTATTTGCTGGCCCCTAATTTATTTGGTAGGCTGTGGACTGGGGAAGAGCTGCCAGTATCCTCTGATCCAAAGCAATCTATTCATCTTTGACAGTTGAAGCATCTATAGAGGACCCAGAAGGACCATTCATGAAGGTGTTGCAGGCCCAGGAGAGCACCAGTACCAATCATCAATCTCAATATTGAACCAGAAAGGGGCCATTCAGAAAAAGATGATCTTAGTTCTTCAGGCTTTCATGAATGAACAATTCGACTTTAACGATAAAAACGATGTTATTAGTGCCCTAAATTACATACTGCCATATTTCTCAGGGGGAAATCTGGAAGATGTAATATCAACATACCGTTCATTAAACTGCTGTTTTCTAGTGTACAAAATGCAGATAATTCACTGGGACCCTACAAAAATGATTCAAGGAGACTTGTTCTTAACCCTGTACCAAAGGTGAGTAAATTGGCTTACAAAAATAAACCGAATAAGCTTTGTTTTCTAGAGAGTTTGTTAGATGCAGAAATGGATGCGATTAGAAAGAAAGAAAACTGTCATGCTTATGCAGCAGTCTAACTGCTTGGCTCCCCGAATTTAAATGGTGAAGAGTTGAAAAGAGATGGGAGCTGCCCACACAGAGGAAGACAGTCTTGCAGAGGCTGAGAAGCAGAGAAAGGGCTCCACAGGATGGACAGTGCTCAAGGGGACAGGAAGCATACAGAAAAGGCACTTCAAGGAAGTGAGTGGCAAGAGCCTGTGGAGTAAGCAGAGCATCCAGACATCTGTGGAGAACATCACCAAAGATGGGCAGCTCAGGGGCCCACCCATCACAGAGCTGCAGCAGTTCAGTATGGAGCAGAAGCCCAGCAAGTTAGGGGCAAGTTCCTTCCAGTCAGAGCCGGTGCTCCCAAAGGAACCCGGGGAGGCAATGTCTTCTTCCCCAGAACCATCCCTGGTGGACAAAGCTCCCACTACAAATTCCCTACCTGAGTTCATAGACAGACGAAAAGACTTGTCTTACACCATTTTTGTTTTAGAAAGGGCAAATGCCAATGTGAAAAGAATGATGGGGTCTAACCCTAGTCTGAAAAGAGACATTAAAACCTTAAGAAGAAAAAAATCTCATTTCCAGTTGATTACGAAGAGTCCACCATCCTCTGCTGTGAGAAGCCTGGTAAATTCCCCTGCATGAGAGGTCTTTTCATCTGCAGGAGACATGAGTTACATAGAAAAGCCTTTTCCAGAATCATATGCTGCTTCAGAACCTCCTGCAGAAAAACCTCTTGAAGAAAACCAGATGCAACAGATAATAGTGAAGAAAACATCCTCAAACCAACTATCATTGTACCTGAAGAAACTGCATCAGAAAATACACCCCCCTGAGAATCCTGCTGTAGAATCTAATGTGCCTCCATCTGATTTAATTCCAACTGTTCAAAAAACCAGAAAGCCACAGTTAGACTTCATCTTGGGGTCTGACTCACACGACCACTTCAGAGAATTTGCTTACCCACTGCTGATGTCACAGGGTTAATACTTTGAATCTCAGGTAAGCCAGCAGCTGTGGCCCCTCATCCCCAGCAACAGCGTGAGAAGGCTTATCTCTCACGTTTTATCCGGACTTTGAAGATGCACTGCTCTAACCCCAGTGTGCAACTGTCCTGTACCAATCTTATCTCCAGAACAGCCTCCTGTGAAGCTTCTCAGCGAGCAAGAATTCAAGGACTGACTGGGATACAGACCCGTGAAAAACTGAGAACTACATCAGTGGTAGCACAGAAGCCCCAGGCGAACAGAAGGGTCCGGAACCAAATCAGGTGAGGACAGTGCCGGAACGTGGGGACCCCACCTTCTCGGTCATTTAAGCAGAAAGACCAGGGGCTCCCACTCCAGATCTATAACTTTAACCCAGCCAAGATAGCGATTCCCACTGCGTTTGTGTGTATTTTGTTGTGTTGTGTTGTTTTGTTTTCCTATGTAGCCTTGGATTCCTGCAATTCCCAAGCAAACCAGCCTGGCCCGGAACTCGCAGTCCCTGCTTCCCAGTACTGGGATTAAATATGTTTGCTACCATACCTAGCTTCCATTGTGTTTCTAAGTTTAGAGACTGAAGCAGACCTAAAACACTGAATATAATAATAAAATGCACAATAATAAAGCATGTAACACACTGGGTCCAGTATGATCTTTTATAAATATGGAAGCTACTAACTCTGTCCTTCCCTGTTACTAACTCTGTCCTTCTTCCCTGTATTCTCAGTTAGGCTCTCCTGCCTAACTTTATTCTGTTCAACTATTGGCCAGCTGGCTTCTTTTTTTTTTTTTTTTCTCCTGGAACTCGTGCTGTAGACCAGGCTGGCCTCAAACTCGCGCCACCAACGCCCGGCAAAATTTTCAGGTCGAGCCAGCCAGGAGTCGAACCTAGAATCTTCTGATCCGTAGTCAGACGCGTTATCCATTGCACCACTGGCCCACCGCCAGCTAGTATCTTTATTAAACCACTTACATCCACATATATTCATACAATGTATAGAAATATTCCACAGGTCTTCTGGAAGGGCAGTCGGTGCTTTTAACTTCTAAGCCATCTCTCCAGTCTCTTATTCTGTCTAGAATTTATTTCATTTTGGGGTGATATGGTTGAATTAGGGAGTATTCTTCCCCCACAAGAATATCTAGATTTGAAACAATTTATAGTGGATGATTGACTCTTTCTTCACTTGTCTAAGATACATTTATCTCCATCTGGATGCTTTATCCTGATTCTACTGTTGTTCCTGTACCAGCACAAGAATCACACCATTAACTGAACCCCACATTGCTGGATAACTCCCATTGGTTTGGTAGGGCAAGCTCCTGATCGCTGATCTGTTTTTCCTTATGTTGTGTAACTATCCTTAAAGTTTCCCTACCAAATGTCTCTCAGAGAGAGACAGGAAGGAAGGAAGGAAGGAAGGAAGGAAGGAAGGAAGGAAGGAAGGAAGGAAGGAAGGAAGGAAGGGAGGAAGGGAGGAAGGGAGGAAGGGAGGAAGGGAGGAAGGGAGGAAGGGAGGAAGGAAGGAAACAGAAAGAAGACATTAGATATTAGGACTGAGGAGATGGGTCAGTGGTTAAAGCACTTTCCACACAAATGTAAAGTTCAGACTTTAAAGTTATAATTCTCAGGGCCTAGGGAAACTCCAGCCTGGCACGCTGGTGTGGCAGCTACCTGTAATTCCCACTCCCACAGGCAGATATAGGATTGCCCGAGGACAAGCTGCATAATGAGGCTAGTCTTATTACTGAGCTCTGGATTTGATTAATCCTGATTCAGGGAATGAGATAGAAGAACTATCTAGATATCTGACATCATCCTCCAGTCTCCATAATCATTCACACACGTACATGTACCCTTACACATGCAAACATACATATCCACCACATGTAAACACACAGCACACACTCAAGACACACATGGAAGTAGGAAAAAGGTTAAATTTAATAAAATGGCATGGCATTTACAGCTCTACTTTATTTGACAATTAATAAATACCTTTATAACATGCCTTACTGCTGTCACTGTTATTGTCACCTCCTCCTCTTCCTCCTCCTCCTCCTCCTCCTCCTTCTCTTTGGTATTAAACACAGGCCTTGTACTCTGCCACTGAGATATATCCCTAAGCTTTGGCTGTTGTTTTAGTTTGGTTTTTGTTTTTAGACAGAGACTCACTCTATAACCTAGACTGACTTGTCATTTCTCTTAATATTCTCCAGAAGAATTGCAGTTTTAATCAGAGATTTTGCTCATTCTAAATTGCATTTATTCTGAGATACTGTCCATCTCCATTGCTATTATAAGTGGGAACTTGCTTAGTTTGTATTGGAGATAGATGAGAAATTCACTGGGCTTGGTATCCTGATCTCTTTTACTATGTGACTAGTGTTGGGTCCTCTTATTCTAGTGAAATATTAGTTGATTGTCTTGGACTTTTTTGGTGTTCACTGTTTCAGATACTAAAAATAATAGTTGTGTTCCTTTCTCCTCAGTAGCGTGTTTATTTTCCTTATCACATTTCAGGACCTCACCAAGAGACAAATGCTTTGTAGCTGTGGTAAGAGGCATTCTGTTCTTGCTCTTCTGGTAGATACTTTGATGAAGTCAAAGATACTTTCACACTTAGAACTGAGCAAGTTGCCCTTAGCTCCTCATTTGTGCCAGATGTTTACCCTGGTACATCCTTACTGAAGATCTCCTCCTCGCCAGAGGACTCCTTGTCCTGTAGATCCTGGGTCATGTTTTTCTTGCTGTGTCTCGAAGAGGCCTGTACATATCCCTAAGCCATAATGGCCACCTTAGCAAGAAAAACCCTTCCGAGGAAACAGAAAAGGAGACATTAGATATGCTAACACCCCACCCCCTTCTCCAGCCGCAGCCCTGAGTCTCAGGCTTACCCAACTCTCACTGTCCTTGTAGCATTTCTTACCCCTTGGAGGAAAACACCTGCAGAAGACAGTTAGTGACTGTGTCATTGTTTTGTGTGTCTCTCTGGAGGACATCTTGGCTCTCCCCATAGCAAAAATCACCCTAGCACTGGGACTTAAGAACAATTCCATGCATGCCTGGCTTCCAGGAATTTTCCACGTCTGCTTTAAGGGCCCCACGATGCCCCTGGGGAGATCTTTGTATGTGGCTTGTCCTAGAGAATAGCAAAGTGTGGACATGACAATAACCCCGCTTATTCCACTGAACAAACTTATCCCTTTGAAGAAGCCACCCTGGGCGGGAGCATTTTGCTGTCCTTCAGAACAACTCTCACATGCAGTCTTGCTGAGGAGAGGAGGGGCCACCCCTGCTTGCTTAGCTGCTTCATCCTCCAAGGGCACAGCACAGCGCACAGACTCACGGATTGCACCCTGCAGACTGCCTCTGATGAGTGAGTTGTGAGACGTTTAAAGGGCTCCACTGGCAGGACATGGTGGATCATATGATTCCGTACTCGGGAGACTGAAACAAGAGTTTGGGGCCAGCCTTGGCTACATAGTGGCCCTGATGCTACCAACAGCAGAACAGGCATGGCCTAACCTTCTCTCCTTAACGAAATGGTGGCACTTGGAGGCCCCCTTGCTAGGCCTGGATACATCTGCCTCTTTGGGGAGTCAGGCAAGACATCAGGGGAAATAACATTCTTTCTGAGTTTTCCCAATGAAGCCCAAGATCTCTGCTAGCCCTCGGGTTCTCCTTGAACAATTGCTAATTTTGTATTTACCCTGTGGACTTTTCTTCATCTCGCTTTCTTGCTGCTCTGTGAGAATGAATCTGTTTTGGAAGAAAACATGATCCTGATTATCACAGTGGCTTCTGTCTCATCTATATGCAATCCTTTTCCTAGTTGACATCTACCTGCTATTATTCTCTTCTGTAACTCCTTAGGGTCTCTCAGGTAGCTGGTACCTAATACTGTGTATTCACTGTTTTACATAACATCCAACAAATCCTGATAGAAACTCTTAAAAGTCAAAGGAAGAAGTATCTTTGACTTCATCAAAGTATCTACCAGAAGAGCAAGAACAGAATGCTCTTACCACAGCTACAAAGCATTTGTCTCTTGGTGAGGTCCTGAAATGTGATAAGGAAAATAAACACGCTACTGAGGAGAAAGGAACACAACTATTTTTTTTTCTGGTTTTTCGAGACAGGGTTTCTCTGTGGCTTTGGAGGCTGTCCTGGAACTCACTCTGTAGACCAGGCTGGCCTCAAACTCACAGAGATCCGCCTGCCTCTGCCTCCCGAGTGCTGGGATTAAAGGTGTGCGCCACCAACACCCGGCGGAACACAACTATTATTTTTAGTATCTGAAACAGTGAACACCAAAAAAGTCCAAGACAATCAACTAATATTTCACTAGAATAAGAGGACCCAACACTAGTCACATAGTAAAAGAGATCAGGATACCAAGCCCAGTGAATTTCTCATCTATCTCCAATACAAACTAAGCAAGTTCCCACTTATAATAGCAATGGAGATGGACAGTATCTCAGAATAAATGCAATTTAGAATGAGCAAAATCTCTGATTAAAACTGCAATTCTTCTGGAGAATATTAAGAGAAATGACAAGTCAGTCTAGGTTATAGAGTGAGTCTCTGTCTAAAAACAAAAACCAAACTAAAACAACAGCCAAAGCTTAGGGATATATCTCAGTGGCAGAGTACAAGGCCTGTGTTTAATACCAAAGAGAAGGAGGAGGAGGAGGAGGAGGAGGAAGAGGAGGAGGTGACAATAACAGTGACAGCAGTAAGGCATGTTATAAAGGTATTTATTAATTGTCAAATAAAGTAGAGCTGTAAATGCCATGCCATTTTATTAAATTTAACCTTTTTCCTACTTCCATGTGTGTCTTGAGTGTGTGCTGTGTGTTTACATGTGGTGGATATGTATGTTTGCATGTGTAAGGGTACATGTACGTGTGTGAATGATTATGGAGACTGGAGGATGATGTCAGATATCTAGATAGTTCTTCTATCTCATTCCCTGAATCAGGATTAATCAAATCCAGAGCTCAGTAATAAGACTAGCCTCATTATGCAGCTTGTCCTCGGGCAATCCTATATCTGCCTGTGGGAGTGGGAATTACAGGTAGCTGCCACACCAGCGTGCCAGGCTGGAGTTTCCCTAGGCCCTGAGAATTATAACTTTAAAGTCTGAACTTTACATTTGTGTGGAAAGTGCTTCTTCCAGGGAGGTCATGGAAGACGTGGTCGCGGTGGTGGCGCCAGCCCGGAAAGCATCGGCCACTGATGCAGAAGAGAGTGAAGAAGTCAAGGACGCTGAAGGCGCAGAGTGATCTGCTAGCATTTATTAATAAATTATTTTTTGTGGATTTGTGAGTGTCAAAGGCCCTTGTACTGGAGTAGATGAAAACGGATGCACAGTAGTTGAGAGTGTGGGCCAATAAGATGGCCCATCACGTGAAAGCAGTCGCCATGCTTGATCCAGAATCCAAGTAAAAAAAACTGCTACATGGGGTAGCAAGCATCTGTAATCAAAGCTGACAGGAGAATCACTTAGAAGCCCATAAGCCAGCTAGCCTGGAGTGCACAGTAAAAAAAAAAAAAAAACAGATAAGAGAGACCCTGCCTCAAAAGGGGGTAGGCCAAAACCAGCT